ACCAAAAAAAAAAAAAAAAAAAAAAAAGAGTTGCCGAAGTCATGGTGTCTCTTCACAGCAATAGAAAGCCTAACTAAGACACATAATTACCAAAAATGGAGGGCTGTATAAACTAGACTTTTATTCGTGAAATGTGTGGTTCTTGCCATACATGCCAGAGTGGTAACATATCATCAAGGCTCCTTCTCCCACAGCAAAGGATTCAGCCAAAATCTGTGACCAATTAGAAATCATAGTTCTCTGTGGAAAGTACTATTGCCAGATTTGTTAAATAAAAATACAAGATAACCAATTAAGCTTTAGTATTCGTGAAATGATTAGCAAAAGTGTATTCGATGAGATGCTTGGAACAGACATTAAAATGTTTTGCATCGAATTCTATGGAGTTAAAGTTTAACTGGGCATCCTGCATCTTAACTGCCAACCCAGTGAGAAGGTGATGTTCTCACATGACTCCAGATCCCTGACATTTCCAAAATAATGATCGTATCTCTGGGAATGTCAATGCTGGAGACAGCTGTAGGGGGTTTCAATATGCCAAATTGAGGACACTGTGATTGAAGCTGGCATCCTGAGAGCGAAGTGGATCTGCATAATTATCTGTGAATTAAATTGCTTTGTTGCAGAGAGTCAGCTTATTAAATATGCATTTCAATTTTGGAGTGGTTGGCTGAAGAATTTGTGTATCAACAGATGGGAACTCCCTCACTGCAGCAGTGACCTTTACCTGTCAGGCTGGCTCACGGGACCACGTGCAGGAAGACATTATTATTCCTCCAAACACCATTCTCTGGTGAGTTTGGGTAAGGAGACTGGGCTGTGCCGGGAAATGGCCACAACAGCCACTGAAATGGATACCTGGTGCCGAGGAGATGGCTCCGTGAATAAAGCCCTTGCCAGGCAAGCATGAGAACCTCGGGTCAGAGCTTTAGAACCCCGGGAAAGCCAGATGCTATAATCCTAGTGCTCCTACAGAGATAGGGGAGGCAGAGACAAGAGACTCCCCTGGAGTTCATGGAACAGCAAGACTGGAGTATGTAGCCAAACCACACAGAGGCAAACAACCTGTCTCAAACAATGTGGAAGGTTCGAACGGACACCCACGGTTGTCCTCTGACCTGTACATATGCACCGAGCACAGCGTGACATCACTCACAGACAGCGGCACAGGAGGACCTAGATTTGACAAATCCACAGACTTACCAAAACCGCTACCTAAGGAAGATGGGAACAATAGCTTTTCATCAGGTGAAACGAAGCTTGATTTTTTTTTTTTTTTTTTTTTCCGTTTTTCGAGACAGGGTTTCTCTGTGTAGCTTTGCGCCTTTCCTGGGACTCACTTGGTAGTCCAGGCTGGCCTCGAACTCACAGAGATCCGCCTGGCTCTGCCTCCCGAGTGCTGGGATTAAAGGCGTGCGCCACCACCGCCCGGCCATTGATTTTTACAACTTTTACTGAATTTGTTCTTTGGCTATTTAGTACAAGCATAAAGTGCATTCTGGGTACTGTCCTTTCCTCTCCAGGCTCCCTCCCACCCTCATTCCTCCCACCTCACACACAAGTCTCTCTGGCACAGTGTTGTCTTCTTTTTGAGACCTATGAATTTTACCAGGATTGTCTACGGGAGAAGAAAAGTTTATTTTATCTACCAGAGAGCTACAGACTTGAACGCAAAGATTGTTCCTGACATCATAAATACTAAAAACTGAATGGAGAACACCGAGGAAACGGTGTCTTCCAGATGCAGGACTGACTCCCAGATGAACTCACAGAGACTGTGGCAGCGCAGACATGGCCTGCATAGGTCGAAGCCACGTGGAGTCTCAGCACTGAGAGAGGACACTGGGCATGAGTTTCCATCCCTAACCCAGAAGCTAGATCCAAACGACCGCAACTTACAAAGGAAAAATTAATTTTCACCGATGGAGTCTCACTGAGTATATAAACCACACTTCAGGGTAGGCCCCATGCCTGGCATTAGACAGCCAACACAAAATGAACTCAGCGGTATTGTTGAAGATTGTTCTGTCTGGCATGGCTTTGTTCGGGTATTTTTTTTTTTTTAATCTTATTGGTCTTTTGCTTGTATATTACGGTTTCTGACTTTGTGGTTTTATGGATGTGTGTGTGTGTGTGTGTGTTTCTTGGACTTATGTTTGTTTGTTTTGCCTGGTTGTTTTCTAAATAGAGAGAAAGAATGTGTGGAGTAGGAGATGTGAGAAGGTGGGGAGGAGATAGGAGGAGATTGGGGGGGTCAGAATGTATTGTATGGAAAAAATATTTTTAATTTAAAATAAATAAAGCAAAACAACAATAACAACAACAAAAGAATTCCACACATCACAGAGCATTACATTTAAAGTTTTTTTTTTTTAAAATGGGCTATGGCTGGGGGTGTAGTAAGGCAATTGGTTGGGTGTACAAGGCCCTGGAGTGTGCCCTCAGCACCACACCAAAACCTTCATAATGATAATGGTGAGTTCTAGGTGAGCTCAGCATAACTTAATCTCTCTGAGCCCCAGTTTTCTCCTCCATAAGATGTGGGCCATGATACAATTCTTCCAAGGAGTTGTTTTATTCTCTAAATAAAATCACTCATGGTGAAACATTTTTTTTAACCACTGAGGCTTTATACAAACATAAAAAGACTTTTAATATTCTTCCTAATTACTTGTGTTTTTCTTTTTCTGTAATTAGTATCAACACTTTTACATGCATATGAAACAGATCAAGATGTCCATTCAGGAATAATTAAGAGAAAAAAAAAGCTTTATTTTAGAAAGACTGTGGGATGTTGTTGGAGGAACAGTATGTCTTTTCTTTTTTCCCCCTTTTTTCAGGAAGTAAAATGCAAACAAGTTTATCGTCCTAAGGTTCTTCTGCACCAAATTTTAATAGAAAATTTCTTGCACCTAAGCAATCCAGTTATGTTCATGATGATAAATAATAACCAAAGGGGGAAATCTACAAAGAAAGAGCAAAGGACAGTAGCAGCATGGAGTTAAACTAACATTCGGAAAGAGTCGAGGATACAAAGCAGGGAACACCAATAGATACACTCAACACTCTAACACATGATAACACCCGTTCACACACGCCCCACTCACACGTTCACACTCACTAGTGTTCTGGCTTCTTCTCTTACCTCCTTACTCATCATTCCTCCGTAGGTAGAACAATCTTTCCTTTTGAACGAACACAGCTTGTGTGTTTGTACCGCACGTAGATGTATGTGCATGCTTGGTTTGGTTGGTTTGTCCAGAAGCTTTATATAATTGAATTTTTGGAAGACTATGCATGCCTGTGTCAGTACAAGCTGGAGGGCCAGCAGCATTCCAGAAGCCTGCTTCACAACTCTCTCAGGGCAAACTAGAAGCTAGGGAGGAACTGGCCTGCTTCCAAGTAGCAGTTCTAGAAGGGGGAGAGCCAGCAAGGGAGTTTCCTGTGTGCTTTGAAGAAATCTTGAGTTGAAAGGAATTATAAAGATTAGCCTGTTTGTGAACTCATAGAAGCTATGATTGTTACCTTCAAACGACCTGTATGAGATTAGTCCCAGTGAGATCCCCACATGGAAATGGGTAGGGGCTCACAAGGCCCCACCATTCCTTAGGGGAGCAGGCAAAAGAAGAAAAAAAAAGATTATCACTGTATAGTCCCTCATTTCAAAAGTGCAGAAACTGAGGATGACCAGAGAAGGGACAGAGACTCGCCTGGGACCACACCAATATTATCTTTACAAATCTTCCCGTGAGGCTCTGTCATAGGAAAGGCATGTCAGTGTCGGTGACCTATCACATAAGGTAGCGTGAAAACAAGCCAAAGAGAAGAATTTAGAATTCTGGAAGAGCTGACAAAATTTTCTAATTTGGAAAGTAGAAATACTTCCACAAAGAATGTGGCTTCCAAAGCTGTCACTAAAAATTTCAAGGATCCTAGCCACCCAGTGCCTACACAGACACATTCATCATAACCACCTGCTGTCTAGGACACTCCTCTTGGAAAACCACATCGAAATACCAGACAATAAAAAAAAAAATCAGTGAGGCAACAGGGGAGCTAAAATGAAACATGCAAAAGGAAAGAACAAACAGAACACAGTCACTTCAGAGTGACAGAGAACATCTCCCAACATGGCACTCCTATCTGAATATAGCATCCATCGAGCATGCAAGAAGCAAACTGAAGCACCAGCGAGCATTTCCTGACCCTGTTGGCAAGTCAAAACTCTTGGGGTTTACCTACAAGTTGATCATTGGAGCACTGACCTCATTATGCAAGCCAAGTGCAGACAGGATGCTGAAGATCATCAGACCAGCTCAGGGAGAAAAGCTCAGATGAAATTGTGTGTAAAGCCTGGAAGAAATGCCTCAAAATGACGTATCAGAGGTGGCTCCAGTTACTGCGATCTATGGTGCGATCCAGTGGATAGCATAGGGCAGAAGGAAGGTATTCCCAGGAGTGGGAGTGAGCATACGGTGATTGGATGCTGAGG